CTATATGTAGGTGCATGAAGAAGCGAAATGTAATCAGTAGTCTAGTTGTAAAAAAAGAAAGGGGATGGTTGATTTTTTTTTTTTTTTTTTGGAAGCATACATAGCCTAATTAATATTGTCAATTAACCTAAAGCAATATGCATGATATGGTTGTTACATGTCAGGTATGCCAGTCATTGACCTTGAACAAGGCACCTTACAGTAGAATTATAGTAATTCCCTGGACTGGCATGGCTATCACTGCCCGTACATCAGGGGTGGGCAATTCCAGTTCCCGGGGGCCGGTATCCTGCAACTTTTAGATCCATCCTTGGTCCAACACACCCGAATCAAATGGCTGAGTTACCTCCTCAGTATGCAGTCAGTTCCTCCCAATTATCTAATTACTTGATTAAGGTGTGTTGAACCGAAGGCACATCTAAAAGTTGCAGGATACCGCCCCCCAGGAACTGGAATTGCCCACCCCTACCCTACATACTTGCAGAGGACAAATTTCGACAAATTTCCCACTGGGATCAGAATCATAGTTATGGTAGGCCACTTCTTTGATTTTATTTATTTTGCTCAGGGTATTTGTAAGCCCACAGCCAGCCAAATATTGAAAGGACAATAGTATTGTCATTACTGTTAATATATAGTAGAAATCTTACAATTTCAGAAATTAAATGTCACAAGGGGTGGTATGGGAGGATGGCCATTTAAGAAGGGGGATGATTTTTAAGTTTTTTTAAGAGATGCTATCCCCCCTCAACTTGAGTACCGCATGTAATCATACCCATTCTTCTTCCTGCACTATCATCATAGACTAATTATCTTCCTGCAGCTTATGGTCAAACATTAAGTAAACTCCCTGGGTTTTATAGCACAGTATCATGCACAACTAGACAGGACTATCGTCTTTTACCAAACAGCTGCACTCAGTGTTACAATGTGACCTTTTTTGTTACTGCTTTGAATCCTCTTGGAGGTCTGTAAAGTTTTAGGATATTTTGTTTTTTCGTGATTTGGACTTGACCTTTTGGGTAAAACATACATATCTGTCACTGCCTTCCTCTCTGAGCAGGCAGATATACAACCTTTAGCCTATAATTATGGCCTTTTTAACAAGCCTCTCAATATTTTTGCAGTAAAACTATACATTTAGGCATGCAAAAGCATAAAGACATGAGCTCAGTAGTTGATTTATGGGCTTGAAAGCCGGGAGGTGGGAAGTAGCTTGTTCCACCAGACATGTTGACCAGAGCATGAGAGTCAGAAAGAGGACAGGGAGGTGGACACCACTGTAATTAACACACTAAAGAGATTACAGAAAGATCCCCCAGCACATCAACGAAGGATGCAATTAGATATTACTTAACACTTAGCCATAAAGCATCTCTGTTAAGTGTGGTTGTGCAAAAGCTGGAAGTGATCCAAAATAATCTGATTCATAAGATCCTGGCAAGAAAATAAAGCGTGATTTGCTAACGGCTTATTCAGAAAAATTATTTAGAGTCAGAAGCCCTGCAATGACAAGACAAAATCCTGTCACTGCTTAAATATTTGCATATATTTTATTAAGATGTATTATATCATAAATCTTTTCCTGAAACTTTTTTGCAAAAACATCAATAAAGTTTAGACAAAACAGTACTGTCATGATATTCCAAGTCCTTACTTTTCAAACTATAGCTCTTGCACCTAAAATGGTATTTAGTGGTGGCTGTATTTGAATTTTAGCTTTTGAAGGAAGTTTTAAATAGCATGATCAGGAACTATCCGGTTTTGCTTTTTCATGGAGACTATTTTGAGATGAAACTATTCTCTCTAACATACAGAAAAATATGATAGTTACTGCACAATCTCTTCTTTTATTTTGGAAGGAAAACATATTTCTTCTTAGCAGATAAAGTGTAACAAAACACAAAAGAAAAAAATGCTGTAGAGGACATCCGCCTTTAATGACTAGAGATTTGCTGTTCCTACACTCCAGAGATAACATCTGCTGTCATTATACTAAACAGCTGAAACACTGAGTGATGACCTCCCTCCTTCTTCCCTCCAAACCCTGCTAATTTCCTGAGCATACGCTAAGCTGACAGGTGAAAGTCTGCAGTTGATGTCTTGGAGATGATGGAGAGGGGTTGGCAAAGGTTGAGACAACTGGACTTTAGTGACCTATAACCAAACTTGCACTGGTGAGAAAACAAAAAGATGTCCAATTAGACTGCAGGTATATCACTACAGCACTGTTTCTGTAAGGCTTATCTAACCACACAACAATTAGCCCAGAGGAACATCAAAAACATGCAGAGGCTTGCAAGATTTAGCTCCATCTAGAGTTGTCTCCATGCCTGCTGGATTACGAATCTCCTTAAAAAATTATACTACATAAAGACAACACATTAACTGATGAGTTATTCAAAACATTTACAGTTTCTTATGACTGCTAACAACATTAACCTACATTCAATATTCTTTATTGGGGGGGGGGGGGGGGCTACGTGCTTTTCTGTAGTGGTGGAAAGTAACAAAGTACATTTACTCGATTACTGTACTTTTTTTTATTGTCATTACACTGTCATGAGTACAGAGCAACGGAATTAACTCATAAACATATTTAACACATCCCCTTGGGGAGCAGGCAGCTGCAATTGTGTGGTGCGCAGGGAGCAGTGTGGGGGTTAAGGGTCTTGCTCAGGGACCCAGAGGGGCAGTCCATGGGAGTGGGGCTCGGACTCAGCACCTCAGGATTCCAAGCGCGATGCCCGAACCACTAGGCCGCCACTCCACAAAGCAGGCATTTGCGTGAAGGGTCTTGCCTAAGGACCCACACTGGCAGTTCATTCCCCCAGCTTGGATACAAACCCAGGCTTACTGTTTGCAGGACAGTGACTCAGTACTGCAGTAATATATTTGAGTATTTTTGCATTACTTTAACCATATTTTCCACTACATTTCAAAATCAAATATTGTTGTTTTTACTTCACTACAATTTGAGGATGGTGTTAGTTACTTGTTCTTTAAGGCTCAGCTTAGCTTTTTAATCTGCTGTTGCCGTTTTCTTTCTTGAAATTAAATTTCCACATTTAAGATAGAAGCCCTTAGGAATGAATTTGAACACCAATGTTTTAGAGATTTGCACAACAATGCACAAATGTGAGAAACTCAGGGCAGATATTATTTGTAGTTTATAAATTATATTAGAGTGGTAGTTGTTGCCATGTGGCCAAGTTGTTTAGTAGGATGAGTCCTCAAAGCAGAGTTACCTTTTTTCTGTGTTAATAGATTTAAAATTGAGCCTCTATTCCATAGTGAAAGCGTGAGGAGAATCAAGACTCCTGTTTTCTTTCTTTTTGGTTTGTTTTTAAATATCAAATAATAATCAAAATATCTTTCCTCATTTTTTTTTAGGCATTTGTATCCTGAAGTTCTTTACAGGTGGTGTAGAATTTGTAGTAGAGTGGTTCTATGCATCAAAACATCAGATAGTTTGTGAAAGTTACAAGATAAATAACTCTGAAAATTATACAGAAATTTAATAATATTAGAAAATTTACTTTGCATTATTTTTTTATACTGATGTACTTCTAAATGCATGTACTTTTGATTACTTAATATTTTCAGAAGTGAGTACATAATACTGTAACTTGGGTAGATGTTTGACTGAGTAATTTTAACTTGTAGTTGAGTAAGATTTGACTGCGGGCATCAATACTTTTACTCAAGTACTACTGTTCAGTACGTTATCCACTATTGCTTTCCTGATGGTATGGCACGTACCAACTTGTAAAAGTTGCTCAAAACAGAATTCCTAATGGGCCCATAAAAAGGGTTCACAGGTGCTAGTCCACTGTACCATCAGTACACTTTATTACTTTTCAGCCGAGTGTATGGTGTATAAAAATAGAACATTATCACCCCCTAAAAAGCAATAGTGAATGCTATATATCTTTGAGTGGGTTGCGGTTGTGCAGCGGAGCTAGATGAAAAAGGAATATAGGAGCATGCTTATCCAGGAAGTACAGTTGTCTTGCTTACACTGATATAAATCATTCTTTTCTAAATGTATTGCATTGTTTTACTGAATCTTTGTTGTTTATGTTTTTAGAAACACATGGGTTTGATGTTGCTGAAATAGGTATCCTTTTTTTGTGGTAAGTGCAGTTATGCTGTTAACTAAAATGAAAAAATCTAACAGAAAAACACAAGTAGAATATGAAACAGTGTACATTAAAGTTTTAAAGGATTGGAATTCAAATGAAAGGTTAACTCTCTGTTTGCTCAACGAAGATCTGAACAGCCATATCTACTTTACAGACTGAGGACTTAAATAAATACTTCAATGATGTGTCGGGGGGGGGGGGGGGGGGGTTCTGCTTCTGAACACATTTAAAACATCCTCCAAATGTTTACCCAAGGCGGCAAAGCACAGTTTGCATTGCTCAATACTAACCTGCTGTGTTTGCTTTAGAAATCATCTGTGTCCGGTATGAGCACTAAAAATACACCCAAGCCTGTTCGTCACATACCCCGAGAAACCTAAGAGGAAATTGTGCACTTTAACAAAAAAAAAAGAGAAAAGTTACAACACTGAGTGCTTAAAATGCCTGTATTTCTGGAATATACTCCCTTGAAAATGATTTACAGTGTTGTTTTTTGCAATTGATCATAGATCTTCAAAAGCTCCATTAGTAATGGACCCGTCAAGAAGAACCTGTCAGAGCTGCTGCATCTTCTTGATTTATCCTTTTACCATCAGAGCATTAAGAATTGAATTTCAAAGGTTCTTGTAAGTAAATTCATGGCCAAATTGTTTTTACTTACACACCAACAGCAAACAAGAAGAGCAAGTTTTTAAGTGATTAATACTGAATGTGCGGGCAAGTGGCGCTTAAGAATGTGATGAGGCCGATACAGGTTGTTCCTTACATAGATACCAGAATATAATAAAATAATAAAATTGAAATGGCTGCTACAACAACCTTAGCTCCAAGAAACTGAAGCATAATAATAAAAAGCACAGTTTAAATGACAGCTCTTTTATTAAGTGTATTTAAATACATAAACACACAATTGCATATACCAAAATGTAATTTTATGAAGATCTAAAAAAAAAGAAAGTCAATAACACGTTTTACCAGACAAGCATAATTTACATCAGGAAAATACTGCAGTTTTCATATGAACAAAGACATAAAAATAAACTCCTATAATCCAAACAGTGATTCCTTAAAGTGGTGAGTATTCAACATTAGAGAGATTGATGGAACAGAGAAGTCACTAAGGGGAATCTGAAGACAGTGTTATGTTAATGCAGGTCTAACATACCAATTGGGGTAGTCATGCAAAGCCTGCAGGCTGAAAATGTCTCTGAGATTTTAAATGTTCAACATTTGCTGTGTATTTATGGCTCAGGCTGTGATTTATTCCGTCAATGAATCATGACAGCTTAAGAGTCTTAGTGCCCTCGTAACTGAAAATCATCCTGACTGAAAGAAGAAACACAGTGGATGGGCTGCTTGAAACATTTATGAATAATAAGTATCTTAATTCAATCCAAAACAGCAAAAAAAATATTTAATACTTACACTCATGTACACATATTCTAAGTATATACACACACACACACACACACACACACACACATATATATATATATGTATCTAAAATTGACAGTTTTTAGCTTTAAAATAAAATATATATAAAAACCTGACCCAATTAATAGACATTTGAGACTCAAAGCTGTACATTATAATTTAAACCTACACATTTAGGTTTCATTTGCTTATCTGTAAAAATCTGTCTCCAAATTTGGCACTTGATTGTAAAAAATATACCGCCTTTTGAAGGTTATTTTACCCACAAATAAAAGCTCTTCTCTGAGACTAAAAAGGCACATATTAACAGTATTTGGCAGTTGGTTATTCATACAAAGACACTTATTTACCACTATAAGGCAGCGTTGGATATTTGACAGCTTTGAGAGCTGAGAGGTCTCTGCAAGCTGGTTGAGCATGCAATATGTGTCACCATGTTCTGATGAAGGCTCAACTGACCTGTTTTGGGTTTGACAGTGACCCTCCTTTATAGTATGGACCAAAAGCCCATAGGATTACCAGTGTAATCATTGCGTAATAGCATAATGTTTTTCTATAATACTTTTTCCAGTACAATAAAACATATAAGGGTGCACTTGGTACGGACTGGGCGCCACTGCACTGCATCCAGTCATCCTGTTAAAGCAAACGACTCTATACACCAAACAAGCTTTGTACACTGATCCTGAGGCACTATTTGTTTTCAGGCTGGCATTAGTCCTTGGTTGGTTTGCTCTTGCTTAGCTGGCTAAGTGAGTTTCATACATTAGGAGTGGCTTCTGGTCTTGCTCAGAATCAGATCCCTCGATTGCTCCGCTCGGATTTGTAGTTTCTGAACTCAGATCCTGATGTTCATCAAACCCCCTCCTCATCTGCTCCTCTTCCTCCATCTTCAGTCTTCGCTCTTCAGCCTCTATTTCCTCTGTGGTAGGAATGGAGTTTTTCTTTGGTCTTCCCTTGGGCTTGGTTGGGGCCTCTTGACCTCCTTTAAGCACCTAGAAAAACACACAGACAGCATTAGAGGAGGGAGCGGGTAATAAATGGTAGCAGGAGTCAAAGGCAATGCTTGCTATTATAGTAATTAAGAGAAGACATATTGCTGCTTGCTGGGCCTTGTGCACTCATTTATCTTTAACGATTTCAGGTCTTTTTTGTTCTCTGGGTTGTTGACCCTTCTACAAAAGTGTTTGCTCTTACTGCAATCATCATCAGTCAAGCCCTAGCTCTCCCACACCTTCTTTTCCTGCCATATGCCTATATGCTGCTAACTTTATTCAAATTTTAGCCTTGCACAAGCATGCAAATTTAGAGTAAATCATCTCCACATAAAAACAAATAAAGAAAACAGAGAAAGTCTTAGATGAACCAGATTTTATATCTATCATATTGCTATCTACCAGATTTAAGTTGACCAAATCTTACTTTAAATTAGAATACTGTTGGTTTAGGTAAATAATGCTCCAACATTGCTCTCCTGCATATTTGATGCACAATTATATAACTGATTTTGAACAAGTCAGAAAATTCCATGGCTGGCTCTGCCTGAAAAAGGCAGCATGTTTCACGTAATAATTTTGCTAATTTCATTACTCACTATCCCAATAAGCAGCCACCATGACAAAGAAGGTTAGGAAACACGCATTATAACAAATGTGAAACGAGTAGAAGGTCCCACAAAATCAGCTTAGATCCAATCAACACGTCTACATCTCTACACTAGCAGATAAAATTAATGTGTCAGCATTTTTACATTTTTCTTGATGTCCTAGGTCTGTCAGAACCAGCACTGACCTGGTTGTTATGTATATGTATGTTAAGTGTATAATGCCAATGTAATTCAGGTAAACAGGTAATTGTTGTAATAAAATTATTTAAAACATCCACAGAAAATGAAAATATTAAAAAAAAAAGTTAAATTGTTCACTAATGGTACCTAAAACTGCCAGTCTTACCATTTTTTTCCATTTCATACGCCTGTTTTGGTACCACGTCTTCACCTGAAGCTGCGTCAGACCTAGAGACTGAGCAAGATCCAATCTGGAAAAAAAAAGATAAAAAAACAAAATCAGATGCATACAATGGTTAATTTCTTTTATTTTTACTTTTCAGGTGGAAGACCACATCCTCAAAAAATCTTCGATTAAAGAATACATTAGGAAAAACAGCTTAATATTTTACTGGTAGGGTTGAAACATTTCAGTATATCAAGCTTGCTTTGATTCCTAACTTGAAAAAAATACTTCTGTTCTTTTTCTTTAACAAAATTTATTCCAGATCACCCTTTTTGTTTACCTGCCATGTCGAAGAAACTTGTATTAGCAGTGCTTAACATTTACACTTGGAATTCTCGATTGCTCATACAGTCGATACAGATATGTTAATAAGCAATGCTTATTTATAATGTAAACATTTTATCACTATTGTTTCGACTTTTTTGGTGGATTTGCTACATTTATTTGTAATGAATGATTTATTTTGAACTTTCAAACAAACGTGTTTCAAGGAGATACAAAAACATATAATAAATCTTATTTTAACTGTTTTTTTTTATATAAAACTATCAGAAAATTATTTATTACTGCCTTTATTAATAGAAAAATCTCCTTATATCTTCTATAGTAATAGGGTATAGATAAAAATAATTTTTTTAATTTTACCAAAACATTTTAGTTAGGTTAAAGTCCAGAGTGAATTGTTCTTTGCAACCCACTATTTGGTAAGACTTTAATCGGCACAGGCCTATATGGAGTTCTCCATATAGATTGATTTTCTCTATTTTACACTCTTATATAGTTAAGTTTAGTCTAAAAAGTATTTTTCAGTCCAAGCAGGCTTTGAATCTAACAGGGAACACACAGAAAAAAAGTTGTCTGCAGCAATCCAGTCAGCCTATATTATTAGGGCTGCTCTTCAATGCATCCACCACATGTGGCAATGCATGACCAATTGTAAAGTGTAATGCAAAACCTCAGGAAGTCACAGATAAAGTTAACAAGGGGATTCTATGTTACAGGGGAAGAAAGGTTATATTTTTTAAGTGGGATTTCCTCCTTCCTGCTCTTCTAAAAGGCCTTTATCAGCCAGGTTAAATGTTTTTGAACCCCTCAGGGGAGAAACCTGACTTTTACTTGATGGTGACAGTAGAACATGAGTCAGGGGAAAAAAAGCATGCATAATTTAAATAAAAAGAGCACAAAAGAAAAAAATAGATTCACAAGACTTTTTATCATAACATATAATGGCTGTATATCATAACCTAGATAAAAAAAGATATTAAAAACACTGAGCATGACCGATGCCTATCAGAGTCAGTTTTCAAACATGGCAACAACTGGAAGTAGCATTAGAAGCCAAAAAAATGTATTAACGGTTATTAGGAATCAAAGGGCGGAACCCCAGCAAATGAAAGAGTTTGAGTCACTTCCTTTGGGCTCCTTTTTGTTCCATTTACTGTTTTACCAAATATGTTTATGAAAACAGCAATAATGAAGATGATGACAGGGATGATGATCAAACCCCAAACACAGTCTATTGAAACGATTCATAAAACCATTAAGTTGTGCTGACAGGTACTTAAGTCTTTTCAGGGATATATTTGGTTTTGGTTACACTTGCTCCCACACATAGCTTGAGTTTTAGACCGCAGAGGCTCCACATGAAGAGAAACAAGAGGAAAGAGAAGTTATCTTTGGATCACAACAAACTCAAGCAGGGAGCATGCCACGTCTTTGATGTGCGGCTCTAAAAAGGGATTTTCTCAGCTAGTGTTTTTGCTCTATCTGGGTATTTAATTAACTCCATACACGGTGTCAGAATCTGATATTTTGACAGAACACCAAAGGTTGGCACGGCGATTCATACGGATGGTTGGTTTTAATCCCTGAGCTCTGCCTCAGGGCTTCTGCTTTAGGATTAGGTTTGCGGTACCTCCAGTAGCTACAGGGAAGCCAATGTGTGATGCATTTAATAATGTTTTGTGGGAGCTGTTACCCACAGAGATAATAAATATGAAAAACAAATCAATCTGGCTACTTGTATGCAAATATATTTTTAGAAAGTAGCCCGAAGCAATAAAAACACTTTGCAATATCTGCCTGAACAAAGTAGCTTTTTTCATGTTGATGTGACTAATTATACTGTTGATATGATTAATACGATGATTTTTTGCAAACTTAGCTCTTTAATGTTTCAGTTGTTTTTTTTAGCCAATGATTAGAAATGCGTGAACTAAAGTTGCTGGATGGGGGGGTCTGTTAAAATGGCTTGAATTTTTTTTTTCTCTGCAGGTGAAGAAAAGCTATTTACAACCTTTATGGCTTAATCCCACTCCTGGTTTAAATGGAAAAGTAGCCAGCAGGCTAAATTTAAAAGTGGAGTACAGCTGGAAAAAATGTTGTAACCTAAAATCAGTCGTATGGAACATAAGACACACATATTAACGTTTAGATTACTTCACCTCTCTGTCTAAAACTAAATGTCCTTTATGTACACCTGTGCATGAGTGAAATGATTGGCAGTAAATCTGTGCAGTATGTTGCTGTTTGTTGGGGTTGGCCACTGTCCCTCCGTTTTGTGAACAAGAAACATTTTCTCCATTGAAGCTTTCTTGGTGGAGCTCAGTGTTAAAACGTTAACTCTTGTCCCAACTAGAATATTGAGGTAATGTTTTGGCTCAGTTGGATCCATTTTAAATAAGGCAATCCCCACGGGATAAATCACAAATTATGCTGTTAAGTTAAGTACTGCTTGATATGTGCATTTACGGCCCTGTGAATGTCCTTGAGCGTGGGTGTTTGTTGTGATCGTTTAAAAATGCGCTCAATTAAAGTACACAGGCTGTCAAAATGTTTGCACGGAGTGACATTTATATGGCTTTGGTAGCAAGTACATTATGTTTATTTAATACCTGTGGAGGAGTTTCAAATTACTCTTTATTTGAGTCATGCTTTCCATCTTTGGGAATAACATTTTTTTGGTAGCTATGAGGGTTTGCCATAATATATCATGTAAATGCAGTTAGTTAATTGTAAAAAACAAAAATCAGTGGGATATAAAAAAATGTTCATGGTAATATAAAAAACAGTCTGATGATTTATGTGTTTAGACTCTACTAACCTATCGGGTGTGGACAGGTATTTCTGCTTTTGGAACTTCTTCTCCAGCCCCATCAACTGCAGCTCGGTGAAGATGGTGCGGCTGCGGCGGGGCTTCTTCAGGCGGGGCGTGCTGCTTTCTGTCTCTGACTCACTGCTGATGCTGAGGGGCGTCTGGCTGGGCGGGGGTTCGGAGCCTCTTGGGAGCTGCGGGGAGATGAGGGGAAGGTGGGAGGAGGCCGCGCCCGGGGATGACGGCTGCGGCAGATGGGGCTGCACATTAGGGGGCTGCCGCGTGATCACTGAAAGAAGTGGGTAGCCACGCAGCGGCGAGGAGCCTGGAAGAGTACAGACAGTGCAGGAGCTCAGAAAACAGTGGGTACACAAGAATTTTACAGTTAAACAAAACAACCACATGGTTAGTTGGAACATTTAAGCGTCCTGCTTGTTCAGCTTTTAATGACACTAACAATGACTGCTTCTGGTTTCTCAGACACCCTCATTGTGTCACCATGAAAAGTAGTGTGGCATTGACCTCCAGCATGTAGAGGGCTGCAGCCTCCATGACGTAGGGGCTGTTTCACACTTGACCCCTGATCCTTTCAGCTGAAGGGCGATTTTTCAAAGTTTATTAAAACTGAAAATATTTCACAGACACAATATGCACACATTTATAGAATACCATACGTTTGTTACAAGGCTTTAATATAATTTCCAAAAAGCAATTCCTTGTATCTATTTTTCTGTCTTACATCATCTTCAGCTCCCTACTATCTGCAATTAAAATACTCTTTAGCCTCACGTACAAGACCACATGACCTGCAGACGCCAGAATCAATAAAAAGTCAGACTCATCTGAAGGAATGGATACCTAAAGGTAAAAAAAAAACCATCATGGCTTATTCTACAAATTTCTTATTTTATGAATAAACGTAATAGTTTAACCTTCTCAACGCAGAAAAAGGACAACCCTCGGAAAAAAAACAAACAACAACCTTTTCTAATAGTGACTCCTGAGCATAAAGATTTAATAAATTCTGTTTCAAGATACTCATCAGTAATGAGGAAATAAATGGCTTCATGCGGGTAGCCACAGTTACCTTGCTCACAGGCACACACACGCATACACACACATCAGATACTGCCTAAGGCTGATCATGACATCATGGTAAAGCGCTGAGGTCACCACTAATCCTTCGATGTTGGATTGCTGGTTTGCAACAAGCCTGAACAAGAAGCCATCTTTTTCGCCTTGTCTCTTCCTGCTCTGTTTCTTGCCTCCCATTTATGTTGTCAGTCTTTTTCTCTCTAGCTGTCTCTTTTTGTATGTCAAGTCCATATTTATGTTACTAATAAATAATCTGACTGAAATGTTTTCACTCATTTGTAGGAGGAAATTTTTAACACTGACATTTTGTGAACTGTGATTCATGGAAGGCCAAACATCAACTTATGTCTTCCCCGAGGAAGAATGGCGCTTCGATTTTTTTTTGTCTTCACAGCTCGCGGGAAATCTTTTGTCAGTGAAGAGCTCGAGGATGCCTCCAAATGCCCCCTTTTCCTGCCCCCCATCTCCAGAACATTGAGACCACAGAGAAATGTCAGGCCTCGTGGTGACTTTCCACTAACGGCAAGGCCAGCTCAGTGACATGCTGCTGACAAGCGTCGGTGTCCTGTCAATAGTCTACAAATAAACTGTTTGAGGAGCTGCAGGAACGCAACTCGGGGCCCCTGCAAAGGCACATGGATCCTCCTGATAATCACAGTTGGAATGTAGGAACTGGAACAAGTGCTTATAGTAACCATTACAGCAGGCTCAGCTGCTAATAATAGCTAAGGAAAAGCACCTAGTTCAGCATAACTTTGAAAGCCAGGTGCTTTCTTCATTAAACCACGGTTGTAATGATGTTATACTTCACCTCTCATACTTCTTTGTGTTAAAAGACTAGAGGCTTGAACAGACGATCCAGTGTTTAGCTAAGATTTTAAAATATAAGGTTGCTCACCTAAAAACTTGTTTAACATGTGGTACACACAGGTGCAGCAGAAATCAACATGTTGCATAAACCACTTTAGGTCTGATTAATTGCTCATTCCTTTCAGGGATGGAAATATCTGATGGTTACAATGAAAGGAGTAACACCAGGGAGCTGACAAGCTGTCAAACATTATCCTCAACTGAAGATGGAAGAGTGTTTCTTTGTGTGTGTGTGAGCGTATGCTCGCCTGCACGTTGACACGGGTGTTATCGGCCGCCTCTAGTCAACTTTATCCCTAATGGGTGGGTTCATTGTCTGAAGTGGATTACACCTTAAGATGGGATGAAAACGTCTTTTTTGCTCTCTTGGGCTCCATGTAAGCTCCATCAGAGCCAGCTATGCACTGGGCTCCGTGCACTCCTGCTCTTTATGTATATTTGTCATTATGCTGTCAAGAAAGATTACACCACAGTTGATCTTAATCTCTCTCACCACTGCCAGAAAACACCACTAAGCACTCTCTGCTCTGGCTCCTGCTGATGGATGGGCCTCCAAATGAAATAGTGTAACCCTCCATCAGGTTGCTTGCTGTTAAGGCTACAGGTCAGGCCTTAATGTCTCTGATCCAGGTGCATATAGAGGTAATGGTGAACTTCATGACAACCTAAGGTTCTATGTCAGCCTAAGGGCTCCAAGAAAAGTTGGATCCATTTAACGGTTGACTAATGTACACAAAAAGGGACAAACCTGGATAGTTTGAAATTTATACTATAGGGAGATATACTGAAATTACTTATTTTTGGAAAAGAAAATTAAAATAGGTTTAAAAAAATAGAGCATAAAGAACTTTGCATCACATCTGGTCATAAATACTGACTCTAGATTGTAAAAATGTAAGGAAAAAGATGGGGGTGTGGCTGTGGTGCAGGGGTAGAACATGCAACGCAGTCCTGGAAACAGCCATGTCGGGATCTGCTCCCGGGACTTTTTCTGTATGTCTTCCATTTCCTTTCTCTCAATCTGCATCTTCTGTCAGCTTTAACTTTTAAATTGAGGCGTTTGATGACCAAAAAACAAAAAGAAAAAAAGAAACAGATAGGATTGAAAAAGAAAAAAGTTCTAAAGGTGGTTTATAAAAAACTTAAATGTGAAAGTTACATGTTTGAAACCAAAGGCTGACCATCCACAAGCGAGTCCTGCATGCTAAAGTTGTTGCTGCAGCTGAACCCTAGCTCTCTTCAGCTACAGTAGTTGTTCATACAAACATAGCAGTCATACAGATGACAGAAAGACCCAGTGTAATGTACACCAAGCACTCTACAAGCGATTAAACAGACCACAGGACTTAATTGCATAATTTGCTGGTTTGTTGATATCCGCACATCCTCTTGCTACAAACGATCTCACATGTTATGTTCTAATTAATTACATACTCTAGCTCATCTTTCATGTTGGGTTAAGTTGATTTACTCGACTCATTGTAAATGTGTATTTGGTGATTATTCTTTGCAGTAATGGTGAAAAGAAAAAATCTGATATTAACTTTTTTTTTGTGTGTGCAAATAAATGCAAAACCCCGATGTTTGCAGCACATAGATGATACGCTTTATCATAGCAGTGTAAATAACAAATAAATCATTAACTTTAATGAGCTGAAAGCCAAATTCCCCAAGCTTTAATCGAATCAGCCTTTTACTTCTGTTAAATAAGGCCATCTATGACGTCTGAGAGTGACATGTCCAACTTTTTTCCATGTAAAGGTATATTTTATCCAGTTGAATAACAATGTAAAGAAAAGGTTTTATTTGTATGATTTATAAAACAAACTATCAAGCCTGCCTACATTTCTTAAATCAAATAATAAAGCAAAGGTAATAAAAGAGATCCTGTCTGATCTTTTCCGCCTTGTGGCATCTGAGCTTTCTATATTTTTAATGCTAAACTGAATCATTATGAAGGATCAAATATTCTACGTCCTTTACCCTCTTTGCTTTATAAATATTATGGTGTGACTGATATAAGTAAACAAAACAAATTATAATTTATAGTTGATTCACTGTGGGCTCACTACTAGTGCTTAAAAATAATAAATTGTGAAGAATACAAAATTAGGGTCAATGACACTGCATTTGGGTGTAATTTCAGGTTCTGTTTAGGCCCTCTGCCTCTGATCTGATTTCTGACTGTTTTACCTTAAAAAGCAGATTTGTCTTTTATCCTAGAAGCAAAAAAACTCTCCCACACAGAGGTTTACTGTTTTTGTTTGCTTCTTTAAGTGAGAAGCAGATAACAGACAACGTAAGGCATCACTTGTTACCATCCCCTGTGGAGAACATTGCTGGCATGACTGTCTTTCAGCGGCCTCCGCTGGCAACGGGATGAAATAACATCGCTTGTTTTTCCTTCTCCAATATGTAGAAATAAACATTTCATTCGATTTAGAGGCTATTCACCTTTATCGAGCCTTAAAAGCAATTTACACTATAGGCACTATGCGACCCCAAAACCCCTTCAGCTACAAATAAGCGGTGCGCAGAGTGTTCCCATATGCATCTGAGGGGGATACTTTATCCATCTGAAAAAAGGGGGTGTCAAAGCCCAGTCAGTCACAGCTCCCTCAAGCATTACCAATCTATATCAGATGGATGAGGGAATGGCTTCTACCTATTTATATCCAGGCACGGCGCTGTCATCATCAAATTGTTGTGGCTATTATTTCAGACTTTAGAGCAATTATGATAATGATTTATAGTGTGAAAATAAAGCCTTAGGATGCCTCATTTCAGTTGCATTTTCTAACCTATTTCTATCAATCCATATAATCTACACTATCTGAGATGGGTTGCTTAAAATATATAGGCCTAGTAAAAAAAAGATATATAAAAAAGTATTTAAAATCAGCAAGGCATTTAATCTGATTTTATTGCTTCCAAGGGATTTACTTTGACATGCAAGTTTCTTACGGATATGTTTATCACGCGCGCACCAAACCAACAACATGCCATCCATCTATGCGTAAAATGTCCAGCAGCGGTAAAAGTCATTACGGAGGGCCAAATGGTCAACGCAACAGTCATATTAATTCAAAAAGAACAAAATCAAACAGCTTAAATGTTTCTGCGTCGGGATCTAGATTTTTTTTTCCCTATCTGTCACCGTCCCACTTGCCTCCTTAGATGACCTGTCTTTAGTTGCGCCGCTTATCAACTGGGCCATTTATCATTTGCGCTCAACAAAAGCCCTCAAGCATCACTGACGCTCCCTGACTCAACTGCTTGTCTTTGATTTACAACGCTTAACGCTTCATGGAGATAAGCGGGGTGTTAAGAAATCTCTTGTGAAGAGATAAAAAAACACAAAATTATCAGGGAAAATTGTTAGTCTTGCAATAAAACAATTAGTGTAAGGTATACATTTGAGATAATGAACTAATTGATGCACGTAATAGGTTAATAAAAAAAATAATTTGTTGCTGAAGCTGTGCATGGACAGAGAAACATAAAAAATAATTATAGCATCCATAAATTTTCCCAATGATCAGTTTCTCACATTCTCTCACAAATCTTATTCGTTTTAGCAAAATTAAATGTGTGCAAGTTACAATTTTTTATTTAATGTAATTAATTTTACAGCATTAGAAAAAAATGATTTATGAATCAGCTTTAACAAAATCATTCCCTGCAAAGCAGAAAATGAGTAAAGTTTGAGCGTTTTACCTGAACATGAATGAAGAGGTTTTGGTCGGACGATGAGAGAAGGACACATGGAGTACAGAGACAGTTTTTCAAAGTAATCACAAGTTTCCCTGGAGAGGATCTCGTCTATCATAAAAGTTTTGTAGCGCCTCCTGGCCGCCTTCAGCTGCCCAGGGGAAGAGAGCCTCAGCTCGGCTTGACAGTGCATGGTGCGTTCCTGGTGCGCTCTCTTCGCTGGTTGCTACAGAGCCTTACGCGTCTTAAAATATTTAAGCTTGCAGGTTTTAATGTCGGGAAAACATGTAGGTGCAGAAGTTCAGGCGTTTATAGATGTCATTATTATTTTTATCTCAAAATGCGGCTTTTGCTCCTGTTCAGAGAATGCGTCGCGCTGGAGATCCACAGCCTTTAAAGTTGAGCTGCGCAGATTGCCTCTGTGGTAATACGCAGCGCTCACACCCTCTGCTATATAAACCATCCGAGTAGGCGACTCATCTCTGAACTCCTATTCCCTCTCTCTCTCTCACACATACACACATAAACACACAAGGACACATCTTAAAGACCTCCACCTCTCTGAACAAAACCAAGCCTCAAGTTCAAACACAAATAAGGCGACAGCTCAAGAATGAGCGGTGATACTGTTTCCTATATATGTGCGTTTCTATTTATTTTAACAATATGACTCAGCTTAAAAGGTTTATTTTGAGAATTGTGATAAGAAGTAGTTCATTTCAAACAGTTTCGGTTATTTTTGTCTTTCCAAAGTTTGCATTGAACGAAAACAAAAAAAAACTGTATGTGCTGTATTTGTAAAAAAAAAAAAAAAAAAAAAACTCTTAATAAGATAGTTGAATAATAATAATAATCTGGTTCAGGTTATGGTTCACTTAGACCAGTTTTTTAAAACATATTTTCTTACTCTATATTTGTTTTTTCTGTGAATACTTATATATTTTGTGTTTTTCTAAGCATTTAGGAAACACATCAAGAAGCCAATTAATAAGGGTTTTTTCTTTGTTTTTCGTTTTTTCTAAAGACGATTTTTTTTTTTTTTTTTTTTTTAAGATTTCCATCCAATAGCCTTTCAACATGATTATTGTTGTTAGGATTATTTTAGATCCGTTTCCCGTTTATCTCACCTCACAAATCGCAGCAGGTTGAATTGCGCAAGACTCGAAACGAAAACCTTCTTTCCTCTTAGCCCAAATATTTTATTTCCCTACCTTAAAACCTGTTTATATACAGACCCTAAATATATATGTTTAATGGATACCCTGATCAATAATAAACGTTCAGATTAATAGCATTTTTAATTTAAAAAAAAATCAAATTTAGGACTAGATTTTCACATTTCTGTTCAGTACAGACCATGCCTTTTTGTCTACATGTTTATAATAAGCAGGATACATTAATAATTAAGTAATAAAGTAGTTTTTGTGTGGGAGCTTGATTAAACAAGTCAGTAAAAAAACAAAACAAAAAAAAACATGTCAAATTTGATGAAATATGATGGATAAATTAGGAATTTTTTTTTTCCGCCTATCAGTAAACAGATTCTGACTACTGATTTAAAGATAATTATTTGTGCACCGTTTGCAGGTGCTTTTGGCGCAGGTCATCTGCGCTGCGGAACTTCTGAACGGATGGCTTTCCGGGGGGGGTTAGAGGTGGGATCATTTCAGGAGCCGCGCTTCTATTCAGCTCCAAACAGCAGCGGCTGCAGAGTGGCCCCTATAATCCTATCCAGCGCTGAAGACGCCATGCAGATCAACAAATTAACAGAGTTATGCCACAGTCAGAAGCGTTATATAGATCTTCCCGGTAGGCCTACCGACACCGAAGTGAGGATATTCTCTATTAGAGCGATTTGGGAGGATCAGGATGTAATCGGATACCAGGGCAGATTAGAAGCAAGAGATGGAGCCCGGTTCAAAGGCTGCGAAAACTGATGCACCCTTTGGTTTCTTGAAAGTTTATTAAAAGATGAGGGCTTTAATTAATATTGCGACGGTTAAAGTTGAAACTGTCGGACAGATGAGGATGAAAATATGTTCTGTTACTTAAGCAACAGGTTTGAAGTAGCGACGATTAAAGGCAGATTGCAACACGACGCTTGTGTTTCCAAGCGCTGCTAATTTAGGAATGGAAACAAGCCAAACCTTTTTTTTTTCTCATCCATAAACGCTAAAAACTTGGTCTTTTTTTTGTAAGTAGCAGGGGAAAAAAGTTTTAATAAAAGGGAGGCTGGGACAATGCAAAGCAAGAAATAAATCTGGCAATAAGGTGCTGCCAAGTTGAAAGAATGGGAGTGGGATCCAATTTAAGACTTGAAAGCATCATAAATAGAAAAGGTCAAATGCAGGAGCCGATCATGTAGCTTGGTTATTTTTAACTTCTTAATTGATTCAGTAAATGGATGTGTGTGGCGCCACCTGTAGATTACTTCAGGACCCTGTACAAGCATATTAGTTACACTGGATCCATTTATAGGTGCAGATAAGGCCATGTGGCGTGCATTACAGCATGTAAGAGTCAACATACAATATCCTCTTTATAAACCGCGAGCTGTAAATAGCATTTATGAATAACAACAAAGACTCACAAAGGCATCTGTGTTGAAGCCAGATTAACGACAATGCAAGAGTCAAGTGAAAAGAGCTTTATAGTGAAAGTGTTCATTTTAAAACAGAATGTTTTACAGATCGGAGGTTAAAAAATAAAATCCACATAAAAGTAAAACAAAGCCCATTTGCCGGAAAGAGCAAGGTTGATCTAAAAATTCAAAAAGGGTGGTGCCCTGTCTGTGATTCAATGTTGCTGGTGAAATCTATAGCTTAATTTGATGTTCTTTTCTGTAAAGTACCTGAAAACTTCTTTCCATTATTAGGAGCACCGTTGAAATTTTTTGCATAAACATAAAACCGGTTCATATCTTACATCTTTTGAAGTCTCTTTTTTTTTTTTTAAGTTTGTTGTCCAAAATTCACTTCCAGTCAATAAATCTTGTTTTGCTCAAATCACTTTCCAAATATTGATAACAGCGAGGAAAAAAACCCAGAAATGTTTCAATTTAAAAACACCTTTAAAAGAGGCTTTAAAGGCCTGAGTTATTAAATCTTCAACCTTGTAAGATCATTTACAAAACTATGATTTAACATATTCAGATTTTCTTAAAAGAAATGTTCACAAAAAATGTGAAGAACTCAATTTTTATCAAAAATCTTAAATGTAACTCAGTAGCGTCGCCATCTGTTATCATGCTCTCTCTGGCCACGGTTCCCAGCCCATTCGTCATAATGTCTGTTTCCACCTCGGCTGTCGTATTGACGGTTGCCACCGCTCCTGTCATTCTGATGGTAGTAGTTGTCCCGGCCGTGGTGCTGACGGCGACCAGAGCCGTGCTCGTCTCCATGGCGCTGACTCCTCCCACCGCTGTTCATCTGGGATGGATGATGCCTATTGTGATCGCCGTCATGTTGCCTTAAGTCCCCGCGTCTCGAACTTCCACCAGACTGCTGCTGGGCCGATTTAGAAAAGGCGCCGTTGAGCTGCTCAAGCTGCTGCATATGGAGCTGCCACATGTTGTTTCTCTATAAAAAACAAAGAAAAATGACATTAAGCAATACCTGAGTTTTAAAAGTTTTTATAGTTCAACTATTATATCTTAATCACTTTGCAGGTCAAGAAATTGCGTTACCATGGCATGCTTTGGGAGACTCTCAGGAGAAGAAAATGATCTCTGCATTTGGTGTGGAGGAGTATAGGGTGGAGAACTGAACTGGGTTGGATTCCTGAAAGGGAAAAAAATATAAATATAACCGTATAACAACATATCAAAGCTCCAGTTTAATCATACTTTTGTCTTCACAACTCAACAGAAATGATCCAGTGTTGTGCACAAACTAATTCAAATGGTCATTATAATGAGTGAATCAACTGTTCCCTGAATGTTTACTTGATTTAGTCTGGTTCACCTTGGTGTTCTAATAGTGAAGAAAACAAGGTGTTCTTAAAAACATTTAGGATAAACCTTTTAATACAGTTGACTGTTGTTAAGTTTGCGTTGGTGCAGTTCGGGCTGCAACTCGCTAATGTTTCATGTTATTGATCCTGTATTTATCCATCAGAGAAGGGGCCATAAAAGTTTAAACTTTGAAAATATAGGATGATGGCTAAAGCTGCCATTTTCAAAGTGAGTAAAATATGCTTTTTAAGCTTTCATTTCAGATAAGCCTATTTTTAAAGAAAAAAAATAGCCAAGCACTACAGGTTCTTTGTTAAAATTGTTGGTTTTGCATGCAACTAAATTTTTAAGTATTACATTATCATCATTTTTCAATCAAAACATGGGATTCCAACTTTATCAACTATTTTTTTACAAAGCTTTTTATCAAGGTCCACCAAAGAACCTGCTGTTGAAAAGCTTTGACTTGAGAATAATTGGTCAGGCTAAATCAATGGATTCTGGTGAATCCTAACATGTCTCGGGTTCTTGTTTTTAAAACACTATCTGGGGCCTTAACCATAGAGACAAGTGTAATATGCACTATTCATGCTGTGCCTATGTAGCTGAGTATAATGGTCCAGCTACCAAAAGGCTCTACCATAAAGGTAAAACAAACCATAGCTACTTTCTACTCTGCTTCCCTCACATGTACACTTGCTGCTGTCTAAGATTACCGTTTTCAAAGGTAAATCATTTGAAATTTGTTTAATTCAGAGCATTTCTTTGTTTCGACTGTTAAGGTCTTGTTTGACTCAAATACTTCTGAATTTGCAAACCAACCACCATGGCAAAATGTCGTATTGATAAGATGTAAAAGAAATATTAAAAACCTAGAAAATGATTATTCTTCATTTTTGGTAAAATTGTAAGTAGGGATGTTCCAATCCGATATTAATGTCGGATATTGTTCCGTTTTTTGCTTTCATACCTTTAAATGTAGTCTTTTCTCCCCTGTTTTAGCAATTTTACTAAATTCAGTCTTTTCTAAGATTATAAATACAGTTTAAAATGAGTAAAAAAGCTGATAGGATTGTGTTAATATGATATTGAGTCGTATCAGTATCGGACAATTCTCAAAGCTACAATAACGGTATCGTAAATGACAAAGTTGCTTCAGGACAACTCTAGCTTTAAAGAACCATAAGAACCTTGTTTCATTGCCAAATACCAATATAGTTATTTGCATGGTGTTTTTAAAAATTTTTATAATGTTTAAGCTTGTACCATCATTATAGCAATGGGTTATTTTTTAGCTTCTTGCTAACAATTTTAAACTATTTATATTGATGAATGACAAGACATTGAAATAGCCAACTCCTGATTGATGCGATTCTTTATTTATGATATATGGATAATGTAAAAAGGCACTAGTTCCAAAATTGGTTTATTTTTCCAAATGATAATTGCATTTTTACTGTGTGGGTCAGTGTGTCAAGAGTAATGAAAATCATACTGGAGCCATAGTAGAGTCCTGCACGGGTCGAGTTTTACCAACCCGCACCCACCCGAACCCGTTAGGATGACTACCGAACCCGACCCGTCACCCCGGATATCTTCAATTCAAATCAGAACCCGACCCGACCCCTTGACATTTAACCCGCAACCCGACCCGTCAACACATCAAGTAATAGGCTATAGTACGCTGTGCTGCAGAACAGCGCCATTAACACTGACGTGTATGCACTGACTGTGGCCTTTTTGGAGGGAAGCCCACACTGCCGGCAGTGCTTTAAGCTACAACAAGGGTGACCCCAGTGCCTGATTAATATAACATTTCTGATGTCCATAACAACACATACGCATAAAAAAAAAAATCACCAACTACCCGCCCGCACTAAAAAACCGTTTATTTTTATTTATGTATTTTTCACCCGCAAAATAGCATTTTAGCGGGTGACCCGTCAGGGACCCGCGGGTACCCAACCCGTTGCAGGACTCTAAGCCATAGTAACTGATGTGAGAGTGATAGTAACACCACACGAGGTCTTTGATGCCTTTTAGTACCAGGCTGTATCCACTACTGTCCATCTGCTTTACAGCGTTTTTGCTTTATTGCTTTTGGCCTCTTGTCAATTGTATAGGTTCCTGTTATCAATGATAAAGCATGTAAACTCAGTGACATTAATAACCACTGGCCTATAGCCCTGGCCAGCTCCATATCCAAGGTACTTGAAAGGATCCTTCTAAAACGACTAAGGCCATATCTCAGCAATACATGCAATCAGGTTGGATTCAAAGCCAAGATGGCACTGATGTGTGTATTTACACTGCAGGAAATAGATAAATATCAAAGTCAGAGTTTAACTTTTTTTATGTTTTCTGGATTCATCCAAAGCCTTTAACCACTGAAAGTTATTCAACAAATTAACAAAGTGAGTTGTACCTGGAAGCCTAGTTAGAATATTAGTTAGAATATTCTGGGAGTCCTGTCAGACCATGCAGGAGAAGTGGGGGGGACTCTTGTCAGTAAAGGAACCTTTATCATTTAAAGTATATATTAATGACTTATCTGTACAGCTCAGTAATTGTAGAACTGAGTGCATTATTGGTGCATAACAATACCATCTGATGTTTGTAGATGATCTAGTCCTCTGTTAATACAATGCAGGCCTTCTGCAGATTTTGAATCTCTGTTCTCAGAATGGTCTAAAATGTGACATTAGGTTTAATGTTGCAAAAAGTTATATTATGATTATGAAAACAGAAGAGGATAAAAAAAAAGGTGGTTCCTGATTTTTATTTATGTGGAAGTGCTTTTCCAATAACTGATGTGTTTCATAAGCATCTTGTTACAAGTGATCTCTCAGGTGAGGTAAGCAAAGTGATACTGTAGTTACTGTGATAAGTTTAGCATGTGCTCCGCCCATGTTAAAACCATGATGGTTAGAACTTTTTTTCTCTTCTTTACACTGCCCACTTGTGGCGCAAGTCTAGAAAGGGTGGCCTGCAGAGTCTGAATGTTGCTTACGATCTGTATGAGGATAGTACTGAAGGTCCCAAGGCAGTGCAGGGCAAGTAAAATGTTTGTGAACTGTGGTGTACATACTTTACCCTTCACTTTAATCACACCCCACAATTAGCAGTAAAGGACTGAGACTTTTGAAAAGCTTAAAAAAGTCAACATTTGAAATTGTACCTGTTTATTTGTGTTGTCTGATTTAAATTTAGTAAAATTGAATGTTTAGTATTTATATTCTTTTTCTTTTCTGTGCATTTCCCCCAGTTCAAAATCAACTAGTTTTTTGCCTGTTCATTTACCACCATCTCCAATAACATTATTGGTTTCTCTGTCTTTAGTATGCGAAGAAAGACAGAAAAATCAAGACTAAATTGAAAAAAAAAAGAACAATCTTGATGCAGTTATAAATCTAGACCTGCCTGCCACATGCCCAGGGTCTCTTTTGAAGAGAATAAAGAAAAAACTCTTTACACAGATTTCAAAGAAAATAAAACACAAAAGGTTAAAAAAAAATAAATAAAATAAAAACAGGTTCTGCTTTTGTCTTTTAGTCTTCTCTCAGTTTTCTCATATTATATATATTTTGTACATTTGGATCAGTGTGCTTTAAAATAAAGAATCAACTTTGTTTGAAATTTTGTTTATGGCCCTACAACACAATGAAGGCATTCCTCAGTCAGAGTAAGTAATTTGAAAAATATGTTAGACTTCATGGTTTTCATTGCAAATTGAAAGTACTGAAAATTAAAACCATGTATAAAAGTGCATGCAAATGTCTGCATTTCTGTGAATTATAGCACCCAAAATGGAAACTTTTTTCCAAGTGTTTAACTTTTTTTTAACATTTAATGCCAAGCCTAAACACATCCTTTGTCTCTATAAGTCTGTGATTTTTTTTTTTTTACCACACATCTAATGTTAATGCTGTAACAATAACACTGCTGCAGTCGAGGCGGTCCTAAAAAATAAATGAAGAGCATCATTATGATTTTGGGCAAAGATATTTAGCCACTTTTCGCCAAATGTATATGTTTTTGTCTTGTACGGCACCGACTACTGAGCATATTTTGTATAGAATTAAGTATATTTCTGTTTGTTGACAATAATCAGATCTACAAAACATTGGTACAAGAAAGGTACAACTTTCCAAAGCTCTTACTAAAAAAAAAAAAGACACGCGGAATGAGGAAAGGAAGGAAATAAGGAGGAATGGATGCAAGGAAAGAGAACAGGAGAACATATAGAAGGTTGGACAAAAGAACAGCAGGTATAACACAAGGGACAGAAAGAAAGAAAGGAAAGCCAATTCAAAGACATGAGGAAGAAAAGAATAAATTATAAAATGAAAACAGGGGGAAGAAGGAAAATATGAAAAAAAATGAAGGAAGGACAAAGAAGAAAAAAGGAAAGGAGAAACATGCACATGGATTTCCTTGGGTTAAAGATGAAACCGTCACTTTGAGAATAAAGTCTCGTAAGACTGAACATCTCTGGAAAAGGCGTCACTGAAAAAAATATACAAGAATCAAATGCTTTGCAAAACTCCACTTGTGCCGAATGGGAAGATTTTAAAGTTTTGGTTGAAACCAGAGAATTGCTTCTCTAGTTTTTTCCTGGCACTTTTGCTTGTTCAAAGGAGAACTGCGATGACCTTTAAACCTCTTTATGGATAAAATTTCCAATGTTAGATTAGCTTTCTCGTCCACATTTTCTTTAGTCTGGATCCTTCCCCATCCAACGCTAAATCATTCGCTGTGTTTGATTTTGCCGGATGCGTTCTCCAAAGGACCCCGTCCAGGTAGCCTGGGTGTCTTTCGAAGGCATTGAAAATAATGAGGCTGAAAGTTCATCTATAAAACCGAACAGGTCAAGCCATCCCCTAGCTCTGTCGCCTAGCAACGGTGACAGTTGTCTCATAAAACAAGCAAAGAATGGATACCAAAAATCTCACTACTTTTCTGTGCGCCAATTTCATTTTTGAGGAGCTTCAGCAGCAGTACTGTCATCGCAGGTATCAGATTGTAGACCCACACTTGGCGTGCATGCATTGCCACCTCCCCTCCATTTAATGTTTTGTTTAATTAATTCATAAATGTTTCTATTTTGTTTAAATTGAGAAACATATAACATTTGTTATCACAGAGCCATTTGTAGATCTGTAAATTGAGTCAAAAAAAAAAAAAAATCAGAAAAGCACATTTTGAGGTTGGTTAGATACCAAACTAATCAGCATGGGCCTTAAAATAACCGGTATCGGTTGATCTCCAAATCAGAAAATAATCATGTTCTACTCTTACTTCATCATTTATTATAAATGTGAAAATAGTTATACTCTGAGGTGAAATGGGATGATTTATTTAATCTCTTAAAAATATCTTAGGTAAACAAGGACATCAACCACACTGTCTCAATTGTAGAATTGCCATAATAAGTCCTGCAAAACATCATTACTGTCATTTTACTTTATTAAACAAAACTCAATTTCTGGAAATCTATGGTTTGAGTTCTGTGTATGTGTGGATTGCTACTGACATCTGGCGAACATGTCATTTCAATAGCACCTCTAGAAATTGAAAACAATTGTAGCTTATTCAACACTCACTACTGTGTCTGTCTCTCTATATATCTCTCTCTCTATATATATAGAGATATATACACACACACACACACACAAGGTTATTAAGCCCAGACCTAATATTCCCTAGAAATACAAGGGAAAGAAATAGTCAGATAATCTTACCTTTGGCCATGAGGATTTGGGGTGTTTGCTGGACTTGAATTCTGTGAATTTCCTGGACTGCCATGACTGCTACCTAGAATGGAACAAAGGAAAGAGCACAAAATTAAAATTTTATATTCTAAATTTGTGTTATTTTGCATTCCTGATTTTTGTGCATCTTTCCTTTTTTAAATGCGCAAAATACAAAATAAGTCTTAGCCGATATTAAGACAAATCTGCTTTATCAAGCTCCTTATTTTATTTCACAATATAATTATACATTTTTATTCCTCTGAAAATAATTACATTAAGGGACCAGTACTAACAAAATCTTTTTTTAAACCCTCTGTCTACACCTTTTTGATACTTATTTGACACAATAATATGGCCAAAACTGATGCAGTACTTAATTTCAGTCCATTATATAATTTTAATATCAATATGAACAATATAAAAGCCTCAGACAGACTGAAGAGAGTGCCTACATCAATGCCTGTAAACAAATTAAGAAAACATTTTCTTCAGTGTATGAAAATCCCCCAAGATAAAATATTTCTCCTGATTTCTCTCCTTCTTCCTCCCTCATGCACCAGCTACTCCAGCTCTAGACTTGACCTTTGTTGTTCTCTTTGCTAATAATATCTTGGTTTATTTTTAATTTTCATCTTTAGTAAAAGAAAACAGATCCCAACCATTTTTTTTTAACCAGGGCACAGTGAACCTTGATAACACATGTAACCTTTCCAAACTTGGACCAAACCTTTATCAAAGCAAGGATCAGCTCAGTCAAAACAAAATTAACCATTTCAGACATCCCACAACTTCAAAGGATGGCACCTCATCATTGGTGAAAACTTGCACTGCTATTTTATTTATAGGCTGCATGGTGTGCTCAGCTCTTCTACTCTAAGGCTACATTCACACTGCAGGCCTTGATACTCAATTCCAATTTTTGTGTGAAATCTGTTTTTTTTTTTTTTTTTTTTGCATTGCCGTTCACATTCCTCCTTGCGACTTGTATGTGATCTCCTGTGTGAACTGCATTAATGCAACGCAAGTGTCCTGCATGTGCAGTAGAGGGTGCAATGACATCACAGGCCAGCGGAAGTAAACATAGATGGCAGTACTGGAGCGCATCTAGCGCTTTCCCAACCTTAAAAAAATCAATCTTTTCAAGATGTTAAACAAATAATTGTCTGCCATTGTTGTTGTTTTTCATTTAGCTTCTTCTTCTTTGTTGCGTGTTAATGACACTCGGGTCGGATGAATGCAACCTAGTCATTCGGACACAGGTTGCATTTGAAAAGATCAGATTCAGAACTACATAGCCAAGTGGCCTGGGTCTCATTGGAAAATAAAAAAATCACATTTGTGTTGTTCAGACTGCATGAAAAGATCAGATACAGGTCGCATACGGGCAATAAAAAAAAAAAAAAGTCGGATTTGGGTCACTTCAGGCTGCAGTGTGAATAGTGTGTAACTTTAAGCAGTTGCTTTTAAAGCATCGCCCTTTAAAATCTGAGACATTTATGAGGATGGCTTTTGTCAGCTACAGGTAGTCCAGCTTATCACAGTCCAAAGTTTCCTAAACGTTTAATGCTGGTACTTTTGTTTTATAAAAAGCTTTCACCTGACTTGAATGCATGTCTGTATAGTAATAATCATCTTAATTTCCACTGAAATGTGTCTTCTGCATTCAACCCATCCCTTAGGGAGCTGTGTTCTCCACATTACGTTATGAGCCTAGGGGTCTTGTTTAGGGACCCAGAGTGACAGTCTTGGAATTTCAACCAGGGAACTTGGCAGCAGGGTTTCCCCAAATGCATTATATACCAGTCAGATATCCAGGAATTACTTGGCCCACTTACAGGCTATGTGATGTTTATGTTTCAAATTTCTTTTTTATAAACTAGTAACTATGATACAAAAGGTAACACAGTTTAAAGTGCAAAGGCGACACCTTTTGGTCAACACATAAGACACTAAAGTAATCCTATGTCAGTTTTTTTTTTTTTTTTTTTTTTAATCACCCAAACCCAGAGAACCACTACCTGTTCTTTTTGTTAAAGCAACAGGCCACAAGAAATGGTTGGGAAATTCCTTTTCCGAAGATAGAGGAATAGGTGATCTTTTGTTTGATTTAATTAAATTGATTTCAATTTGCTGCTTCACATACCTTCATTTAATGTGCCATTGATGCTCTAAATAGCTCCAAGTAGATTACCATTTTACTTAATCTGTTTTCTGCATTTCTTAGCTCCAACTATGGGTAAAGTACACTGTTTATTGAAATGTTTTATTAAATTGTATGTTCATGTATGGCTATCTTCCTGTATATTAAAAAAAAACGTATATGGGTGAACTTGACTGTTTTACCTTGCAAACGAGGGATTTCACTTCGTATTTTCCCCAGGGATGTGTTTCACCTAGTCACCATGTCTATTTTCCTGTCTGATTCCTAAGATTCTAGTGAAATTGCTGCATATCTCTGAGCAAAAATAAAACAAGGGCCTAAACTTCAGATCAGACACTAAATAGTGTCCAGTGTGATTTGGACTTAATGCAACCTTATGTCTAGTCATAAGATTTATTTTGCATAAATTAGTTTACACCATACAATGTTTAAACACATCATTTTAAATTAAATTATACACGACCCAGAGTTATAAACACAAATTAGATGTGTGTAAAACCCAACCACTGATTAAAACGGCTATACGAGTTGGAGGATCTTTCTAGTAATTGTGACATTATTCTCCCCATATGCAGATCTGCATTCATAATCTGAAACACTGTTTAGGGTTTACTTTTAGTAGATTAGCCCAAAAAAAGCAAGGTTATTTATTTTAACGTCGCCTGTTGATATAGCTGTTACACATACTTTTAAACTCAAGACGGTTTGTTTGATTTCCGATACAATAAACGCATTGAGGTATGTGACAACGAATCTTTCAGTGTACAAATCAAACAAAACAAAGGACCAATAAAAAAGTGTGCTCACCCGTTCTGAACTGGATTTGGATGGTTTTCCCATACAGGGAAGTTCCATTTAGAAGTTGCATTGCATAAGGCACGGACACCTCGTGTTTGTAGACGGCAAAGCCAAATGTTTTCTGTTTTCCATCCGAATCTTTGGGAATTTTAGTTCTGACGAGAGGTCCAGCCTGCAAACACAACCAAAACATAACATACAAATGACATACTGACAGGGCAGCTATGGGGAGTGAAATAAAAACAAAGGAAGCTGCAAAAAAAAGGGTGCCGAACCAAAGTTACAACTAGTGTGCAAGTATAACAGCATTATGTGTTGCGTGTGGCCTGTTTTTTTCCTTAAACATTATCTAATAATCTGTAATAGCCGTTACAAACAACGCAGCATTGGCTAGCTCGAGGCTAACAACAACAGCACCTGTAAGAACAGCTCAAACAGAAGCTCTTCCGTCACTCTGGTGTCCAAATTTCGAATAAAAAGAGTTCGGTCCGCTTCTTCTTCGATTCCCATTGTGTTTGAGATGCTAGTGAAACTTTTTTTTACGGAAACAAACACTGACACTTAAAACAAAAACACCGCGGCTTTCAAACGGAAGGCTCGATTCTTTTTCCGTCTTCTTCTAGAGCCTAAAACAAACTAAGGTTTGAGCGCACAGCGCCGCTTAGTGTCAGGTGGATGTAGAACTTGTGTTCGTTCTTGTTTTCTTTTAGAGCGTTATCTCATCAAAATCATTTTACAAAGAGATATCATATTACATACAATAGACAATATCTTACAAACACGAAACAACATTAAAGTACACAGAGAATGTGACAAAAATATAATGAAGCAGAGCTTGAAAAGGATAATTACATAAAATAAAAATAACAATGAAAAAGAGAGTACAAAAATATTTAGGTTCTGCATTAAAGAAAAAAGGTTTATCTTATGAAATTTACCCAAAAAGCACACCGATTTTATCTATATATATCTATATCAATAACATCCTTATTTTTTTATTTAGAATTAAAAATAAGACCATATTTCCAGTAATAGTGATGAAAACTTTATGAGAATCCCATTATGATTAAGACATTGAGTTCAAGTCAGTTGAATAAAGACATTCATAAAATAAATGCGAGAGAGACAGAATAAACAGGACACATCGGGTGTAAATCTTTTAATAAAGACATTACAGGGTTAATATTTATGTGAAATTTTAATATCTAAATATTTCTTAACTTTATGTGGGCAGTAAATCTATTAGAGTTTGTCCAGATATTAATGTTTATGTGAGGAAGGATCCATCTCCATCGATTTAATGAATTACTAAATTGACTATTGAAAGAAATATCTCCATTGTTAAATGAGCCATCAAGTCAGATTATTAATCATTACTGATAAATGTATGTACAACCAACAATAAACTAGTAGTTATACTTTTGAGTTTTCTGGAATGCATAGAACGATATTTGTTTAATCCTTTTTATGGGTAAATTCTTCAATTCAAATATTTAATAGAGTCATATTTATGATAACATGAGGTTGATTATTTCATATCATTAATGTGTGAGGGGAGAAGTTATGCTTGAAAGAAAGTTTCCAAGTGTTCAGGACTTGTTAATTTACTCAAAACAAAGTTAAACAAAGGCAACAATTTTCAACCACCTAATTTTTAAATAAAAAATTGGAGAAAAAAAATCAAAAAAGTTTCAGTGTTCCATCCATCCATCCATCCATCCATCCATCCATCCATCCATCCATCCATCCATCCATCCATCCATCCATCCATCCATCCATCCATCCATCCATCCATCCATCCATCCATCCATCCATCCATCCATCCATCCATCTATTGTGCACATATGTCTCAATTAGTTTAAAGTTCTAATATTTAAGTTTTGTTTTACCTTCTAGCTCCTGATTCTAAATCTTAAATGAAAACGATTAAAACATGTAGGATCACTGCTCCCCGGGCGGCCCACGATGGCAACCCACTACTGCTCCCAAAGGGGATGGGTTAAATGCATAGGTACATTTCTCTAATGTGAGATCAATTAAGTTCAATTAATTAAAAAATGAGGCATAAATCCGAGGCTGCAAGGGTTTGAGAGACATCCAGTGAGACAGGACTACTGTACTTAAGAACCAACTGAAAACATTTACCACTCAAATGAAAGGTTGTATTTTTTATTATTCAATTGAGTGAGATTATGCAAGTGGAAAAAAAAAAAAAAACAGAATTCCTTTCTATTTCTGCATCTTACAGAAACTGGCAAATAAAATCATCCCCATTGTAAATTTTTGGTACTTTCTGAATATTTGTCTACAACAACAGATCGTGTCCACACTGCAGTCATCTTGATTGTACTGTTATTTCTGAAGATTTAAAACCCTTAGAAATAGGCGTGTAAATTAATTTCATTTCAACAATGTAGGAATATGCTTTTGTGAAATACAACATGTTTGACTTTAAATTAAATGTAACTTTAGCATCTAAGCTGGATTTCTCTTTAATTTACCAAAGGAGTTTGATGTAAACTTATTCTAAGTTCAGCTAACACAGAGGGCGATACCGTTCTAATATTGTATGATTAACACATGAGTGCATTTAATGTTTAAAGATTTTGAAACATAGAATAGCTTAATATTTTTCTAACCGTTAAATTGCAAGCAATGTTACATCTTTTTAAAATATCTAAAAAAACAGATATATATTTTTTATAGGGTACAGTTTTAAATCCTTTACAATCCTCAAACTACCTGAGCCACAGATTTCTACTGTCTGTGGTCAAGCAAACAATTTCATAGGGTTTTCTCCTCAGATGAATTCTCAATATTAATTGGATACATTTGGCTAGTAATGAATTATTTCTCCTTCATGCCTGGAAAAAAACCCTCACAGATTCTGCCATGCTTAGATAGCAGTTGGGGGGGCAAATTAGACCACAGTGAGAACCGTGAAACATTTCACTTTCTTATGTTTTAATTAAATATGAAATCGAGGAGCATGCAAAAGACATACTGTTTAGAAATCTAATCTACACCTTATGCTTATGACATATGCTTTGCATGCCTGGCAGAGCTTTGGCTTTACACTTCATGTGACAAACCCTTCTGTAAAACTGTAGGCATTGTTGTTAACATATGTTCTTCTGCATGTAAATCAGCAATACAACAAAAACACTCACAGCTTTTTATTCTCAACAGGAGGTAGTAAAACTATGCCATAAAAATCACACCTGTGCAGTACTATTAATTGATTAAAACCTTTGAATCTATTTTTATTTCCTACATGGTAATTGCTCTAATTATCTCCCTGGTTGTATTACTGCCCACATTTACAAATAGTATAGAGTTTTAATGTGACTACTAAGAACATGTGGATAAAGCAGGCAGACACAATAACTAGGCATGACAAACCTTTGCCTTTAAGGAGAACTTTAAAGCATATTGTTTGCAAAACTTAGACTTAGACAACTTTTATTGTCATTTTGTATACACAAAGTGTATAGAAAACAACATTTCGTTTTGTACAGCTTTCAGACAGTAAATGAGCAGCAGCTTAGCAGTGAAATGAACATTCTAATTCCATAAGGTGCAGCAGTGATCAAATGTAAACAGTGTGGGAGAAAAAACATAGTGCAAAAAATGCATTGATATGGAAGTTCAGAGCATTTCAAGACAAATATACATAGTGCAAATATGCACTATTTTAGTCTGGTGTTATCAATGTGATGCAAAACAATATATTAGTTACTAAAACTTAAAGCATGTGCATTTTTCTTGCACCTTTTCTTATTTTTCTTCATGCTATTATTATTGTTGTTACAGCTGATATTATTCAATATGTTTTTTGTTATACTATATAAAAGCAACTTGCAGAAGAGTTAATAAGAATACCAATAGGTGGCAGCATTGATCCACAGGTGCCACAAGGCCATTTTGAAAAAAAGATATGAGGACATACAGAAGGTGCCATTCATCCATCCATCCATCCATCCATCCATCCATCCATCCATCCATCCATCCATTTATGACATTTAAATTATGTAATAAATCTGACAGTAAAGTCCAGGGGGGGCTAACTCAACTAAAGGTTGTCAGGGCTCCACAATAGAGTTGGATTTCCCACCAAAAGCTACATAATGGAAAGAGCTGGAAAAATAAGATAACATAATAAATACTGCTACTGCTACCTTTTGTTATATTATTGGAACAGATTCTCCTTTTTGTTGCTTTTGCTACTTTTTATGCAGAATAAAACCTAATATATAACAGCTTAGGCAGTGATCATCAGTAAATCACATTATGTATTATGCCAATAAAAGTAACTCTCATTATGTTGTTAAGCAGATGCATCAAGCCTTTGAAATTGAATGTGCTGTAGGGAAACTTAGAACCTTCTAGCTCCTTCTTATGAGCCAATGCACTGACAAGGACTCATGGTTGTTTGAATCTGTCTAAATTTAACCATTTCACATCCATAAAGTCATTGTGCTAAATTACAATCAGCATTTCTGCTGTGTCTACATCTGGAACCATTATATAAAAGTTAAAGTATAAAATGTCAGACAGGCAGACTTTGTGATACAGGTATGAATCTACCACCTATTTTTTTTTTTGCAACACTTGATTCTTATACTTGCCATGGGGAGAAAAGTAAAGGACCCCAGAGACAGAGGGGGAAAAAAAACAATTTCCCTTTGGCTGATTTAATGTGGGTGAGTTTTCATGGTCACTTAGTCGCACAAGAGGAGTAAAATCAAGCTAATCGCACACATCTATACACACTCATGCTTTATACACACTTCCAATTATGACCTCCAGCCTACGGGTGTTTGGTGGAACTGCAAAGCCAACTGACTGGTGGCTCTTCGTTAACCCCAATCTTTCCTTAGGGCGCCATCTTATACACACACAACCCACTTTCTTTCCTTTCTGATCATTAATATTCATAATTCATGTGGAATGAAGTGATTCAGGATCATTAGACGTGCATGAATATTTGTCAGATGAAAGTTTAATTAGGCCTAGCCTCTTTGGTAGCATGATGTGACCCAACTAGCTTCTCATTCACATTCAGGCACATGGCTTAATGGTCTGTGCCTTTGAAAGTGCTACTCTGTGCTTTCAAGCACCCCCCCATCCCCTGCCTATATACACAATCTTACTTTACACCCCTTGAGTTGATATTTGATAGAGGCAATTGACATGGATTCCATTGCAGTGGTTCATATTGTTCCAGTGGTGATATGGGGATCAATCACACTTAATTCAATGCAGCAGGGGAGCCGCTTTTGTGGTAGATGCCATTTATTATTCAGGACTGCACACTTATATATAGCCTATAGGCTCAGGTTTAGATGGCTACAGGCATATAAGGCAAAGCCTGCAACAGAGGTGTTAAATAAAACCTGCTGCCTTTCAAAGTTTTTTTAAGATTAAATTATTACAAAGCTGTGTGAGTTTTGCTGCTAAAAAATTAGCTACTGCTTGCCTTTCTAAACAAACAAACAAAAAACATATTACTAATCTTTTTCTGCAGACACAAATAATGAACTAATATTTCTTCTGAACTTGGCTCAGAAATGAATGATTTAGAGAAAATACTCTACTACACATTTTCATACAGGGCTTCAAAGTAG